TTGTTGGTGCTTTCGACATAGTTCCTCGTTTTTGAACAAGAGGGAGCTGGTAAATTAGTATTTCTTTGTTGAGGACCCTTTCCTTTTTGACGAGTATTCACCATGGTCATTGTTCTTTAGAAAATTTGGTTGTTTCCCACAAACGGCGCCAGATTATGCGTGTAGATTTTTACACAATGGTTGAAATGAGAACAGATATCTCCCGTGGTGAACTCAGGTCCGTCAAGGTGGTCGATCCAGCAACAAGGAACGAATTGGGAGGGACAAAAGGGGCCTATGGAGTGGTGATGAATTGTTCTAGGGGGCGTTCCGCTGGCTCTAATGGGTTGCACGAAATCCCTGGCACACAAAGGAACAAGTTAGAAGGGCGTCAGAGTGTTTTTCGGCGTATTCCCTCCAACGATCAAGTCAGTTCTTTGAGATAGAGGAAAGAGAAAATACCGTATTGTCGTTGTGAGGTAATTTTGCGTACCTTTGCAAAGTATTTTTGAAGGTTATTTATACCTTCTAAGACTCATCATTGTCGGTAGTCTAGGCAATAGGTAGCTTTCAGAGATGGGGCAGTGTGCCCCCTACTTTTCATGGGGAATATCTCAGTATTGATTACTTGGCTTACCGAGTATTTAATGCTCTTTCTTCAATGTAGAGGCATTAAATGTTTGGATCCCTAAGCATTTAATGCTTTTATTCCTTGGCTTATCAGACCGTGGTAGGCATCTTATCAACTGATGATGTATTAAATGTCAGTCTCTATTAGCCGTATATCAGTAAGGGTAGTCCTAACTTTTCAACCCTTACCCTGTACCTTATGCCACGTGTCTGATTCCCTTTGATTGAGTGTCTAATTCAATCTGTCGCTCTGACTACATTATGCAAAGTGTCCTCATAGCCCCTAGTCTAGCTTAGCCTGCTCAGTTGTCAGTCATTAGCCTCCTCAGAAATCGAGGATCCATGGCGAGTTTGAAGATAGTACCCTCGGGGCCGAGGGGACACGCCTTGGAGCTGAGGAACATGTATCGGAGTAGAGTTTAAGCAGGGGGTCTTCAGAACCGAGGACACGTGGCCTCACCAGAGGCAAGATAGTACCCCGGCGACGAGGACACGTGTTGCTGATCTAAGACCCTTCTAGAAATGTCTCATCAAATAGTATATATATATATTTTGTAAGCTTACTAGCGCAATGACAATAATTATAAAAACAGTTGAAGGGGTTGTTGCTTGAGAAGTTTTTTCATTATCATGAAGTAGGAGGAAAACAAATCTACTGCCGTAAACAGATCTACTATCATAAAAATTATAGAGATATCCCTTCAATTTTTTAAAATTACACTGACACACCTTATTGTTTACCTACCCATTTCACAAAGGATCCCGGTTAGCATGGCTATTGGCAATGTCAAAAAAGTGTTTCTTCAACTTCTTACACTTTAATACTTATATTACTCCTGAACAAAATTAGGCTAACTTGTTTATTTTATTGTCGTGTTCATGTTCATATATATATAAATATAACGTGGAACCTTTTCAAGGCAGGGCCACTTTGGACCCATCCCTACGAGAGTAAACCATAAAAACCTGTAATCACCTGCAAACCATAGGTATCGGTTAAACCCAAGAGGCACTAGCTAGAGTTGAACCCCAGACGTCTAGGTTTTTGGTTCATCTGGGTTCAACTCCACACTACTGAACTACCCGTGCAGGTGTGTTATTTGTGTTGATTCATATAAACTTTTTATAAAAAAATTTAATGCTAAGATTTAAGTATCAAATTTCATTATCACTTAATTGAATTCATGCTCATATTTTTTTTTAAAACTAAAATTTAACTTAATAAACATAGCAATAATAATGAGTAAAAATATTTTTTTATTGAATATTGTTTTTTCATTCAAGTTGAACCCAAAAATAAATCATTTTTTTAGTATTTAAATATTTGAAAGAATGATAAGTAAAAAATAATATATGATAAGGGTAATTATAAAAAATCACATTTTTGTTATATTTGTTAAGAGACAAGACCTGATGGGGGTGGTTAGACCAATCTACAGAGATGTCAATGTAATTAACTTTGTTCCGAAAAGTGAAAAAAGAAATAATATAAAAAGAGACGTATGTAGTTAAAACTTTTAGTTATCATATGTTTCTCTGAAACAAAAAGGAAAACAAAAACAAAATCCTAACAAAAAAAATACATAGGGACCAATAGGATGACAACATGTAAAGATTTTAGAATTAAATAAATCAAAAATTCAGAAAAACAAGGATGGAGATTTGGAACTCAATTGACACTCATTACATTGCCATTATACATTAGATAACAAACAATTTCTTAGGGAGAGATTTTAAGAAATCTTCCCTCCTACTTTTCTAATTTTTTAGATTTTTGAATTGTTAATTAAAAACCCTCCAATCCCAATTTACCATGTATTCGTTTTAACTAGTTATCTACTCTTTACTAACTAAACACCCTTAATTTTAATCAATAACTAGTTATCTACTCTTTACTAACTAAACAACTTTAATTTTAATCAATTAAAAAAATATGATTATCACCCTATGACTTATAGATAATTATTTATCATATAGCTAATTTTTAACTGGTAAAAATAAAAGAGAGAAATCATGAATAATGAAACTTAAAAAAAAATGACAGATTATAAATCACATGCGTCGCATGGGAAGACTGGCAAAACTTATTTAAAGTGATTTTACCTTGTTTTCAATGGCGAATAATATTATGTTGTATTCCAAAAAAAAAAAATTCATGTCTTTTTTATTTTGGATAAATTACACTTTGATCCTACTCTGCTATGACCTTTTTTTTTCACATTGCCCCAAAAATTATAATGTTTTTTCAAATTGTACCTTCAAGGGGAATTAATTTCACATTATCCTAATAATTAATATTTGTTACAAATTTGACCAGAAGTTATTTTATTTTTTCCCCTAGACCATATGATTGTTTCACTTAGCCCCGACACTTTGGTAATTTTCATTCATAAAATAGCTAGCAGTTGCATTTAGAATAGTGTGAAGTATTTCAAATAGTTGACTGGACAATATAAAAAATTCAATAGTTCAAAAGATAAAATAAAATTAAGTCTATAATAAAGGGGTCAAAGTATAATTTGTCTTTGGCTTTTAAATTTGATATAAAATTAATAGATAGAATTGAAGTGACAATATACAAATCATATCTGCATTTTTGCATCTAAAATTTCAAAGCGACCAGATTTTAGATAATATCTATACTGTTAATAAAATTAGAGGTGAAGTTTAGCTTCCATAATAAAATACATAAGGGAGAATTTTAGTCACACATCTTTTAGTTTATTATATTTTCAAAGATACCCTATCTATTTTTGAATCTTCAATAACACCCATATCAGATTAAATGTGTTAATTAAAATAGAATTTTACTAAATTATCAATGATATATTTTAGAAAAAAATTTATACACATCCCTTCTAGATAAACATATCTTCAATGAGACCCCCTCTATTTTTTAAAATTTTGTACGTATTAAAATTCGAGCCGAATAAAATTTGATTTGAGCTAATTAAATTTAAGTCAATTAAAAATTATATTTTTTAACGTATTAAAATTTGAGACAATTAAAATTTTTATTTGATGCTCAAATCAAATTTTAATCAACTCGCATTAAATTTTAATATGTCTGATTTTTTATAAATAAAAAAATATAAATTTTATTTGACTCAAATTTTAATACATAAAAAATAATTTTTAATTAATTTGAATCGAATTTTAATAAATAAAAAAGATATAAATTTTAATTGATTCAAAGAAAATTTTAATCAGGACTAACAGCCCAAGTAGAGTTCAAATTGACTCGAATTTTAGTACGCAAAAGATTTTTAATAGGCTTAAATTTTGATTAGTAAAAAAATTGATCAGTTCGAATTAAATTTTAATCGATTCAAATTTTAATATGTAGAAAAAAGAATTTTAATCAGCTCAAATTTTAATATGTAGAAAAATAAATTTTAATCAACTCAAATTTTAATTGAATTTGATGTAAAAAAATTATTTAGAGTTTATGTAGGGACAATTTTTGTATTTTAGATAATTTATTTTTATTATAAATGGTGATTTAATGGCAGAAAGTGTCGGTGATGTTTAAATATAAACTAGAAGTGGGTGTTAGTGATATTTTTTATAATAGAGAGTGTGTCCTTCAAGATATGATAAATTACAAGGGATATGACTGAAATGTTTTCAAATACATAAATACATTTCCTCAGTTTTTATCCTAATTACTTCAAATTACATATAATTTCTTATAATTTATTTTTGGGTTAATTACCGTGGAGGTTTTCAAAGTGTAAAATTTATCTTATTTTCTTTCCCAATATTTCAATTGCATAATTTTAATCTTTAAAATATTAAATATGTTTCTATGTGGTCCTTAAAACAGACAACATTTAAATTATTAATGATTTTTTTGATAGCTCATGATCAATACTATATAATTTGCATAACTTTTTGACCAAAATTTGAATAAAAATTTAGTTAAGAATTATTCAAAAATTATTTTTTTCAATATTTAGGTATTACGTTACAAATTTTAAATAAAAAATCATTAATAATTTGAACGTTATCTGTTTGAAGGATCAAATAGAAATATGTTCAATAATTCATGAACTTAAATTATATAATTAAAATATTTAAAATGAAAATAAGACAAACCTATACTTTAGAAATCTTGAATGCAATTAACCTTTTATCTTTTATAACTTACATCTCACGCACACTTTGTTAAATCTCACTGAAAATACCGGATTGTTACCTTGAGGGATGAAATTCCAATTTTATCCCAACTTACAAATCCTTATCCTAACAGAATTGAACCCGCCAACTACGTATAGTACTATATAAACACTAACTCTAATCAAAACACCTAAATATTTTCGTTTCCCTCTCGGCTTCTTCATTGTGAAACACAACTCTGTATCTTGGGTTTTTTTTCTTGTGATTTTTCAATGGAGTATAGGCATGGAAGGGTGTTTGTTGGAGGGGTTTCACAGGAGACAGACGAAGAGACTCTGAAAGAGCATTTTGGGAAGTATGGGGAGGTGAGAGAGTCTGAAGTTCTCACAGACAAAGTGACAGGTTACAAAAGAGGGTTCGGATTCGTCACTTTTGTGGACCCATCTGTAGTTGGTAGAGTCCTTCAAGAAGAGCATATCATTCTTGGAAGAACGGTAAGGCAAGGCCACTCTCTGCTTTAATAAAGATTCTTAAGTTTTTTTTTTTTTGTTTCTTGTTTGTTTCATTCATATTCCAATTTTTGTATCCATTGATGATTTTTTCTCTGGGTTTGAAGGGTTTTTCTATTCTCTTTAATTGTTGTGAATAGTTTGTTTGCATGATGAATGATCATTATCTAACCATATAGGTAGAGGTGAATATAGCGAAACCCAAACGTGGGATGTGCACAAATTATTGCTGCCAAGAATGCTGCTGCCTCCGCCAACAGGAGATCATTGGTGCTAGTACAAGTTCCTGTAATGGCAATTGTAATTCTCGGGTTAGGACTAAGAAGATTTTTGTTGGCGGTTTACCATCTAGCTTGATAGAGGAAGAGTTCCGGAGTTACTTTGGGACATTCGGTACGATTGAGGATGCAATTGTGATGTATGACAAAAAAACAAATAGGCCTAGGGGCTTTGGGTTCGTCACTTTTGAGTCAGAAGAGACCGCAGAAAATGTATTGCAAAACAGTTTTCATCAATTAAACAATAAGATTGTGGAGGTCAAGAGGGCTAAACCTAAAGTCAGGAGTAATAATCATATAGGCTCTGATGACTTGTGTTTTGGAGTAGGGTCTATAAATGGTGGTTTTGGGTTTTACTCTCCATATGCTGATTGCTGCAGCAGCTGTGCTTTTTGTACATTCTCTGATCCAAATTTTTCAGTTTACTCTGATGGATTGGGGGCTTACACGAACATGAATAATGGGTTTGGTTATGAGACCTTTTCTGGCGCGTCTCATTATTATCTATGTAATCCACTGTGGTATGGAGGTTTGGTTTCTTCTCCAACATATGTCAATGGTGTGGCTTATGCAACTGACTGGGATAGTCAGCTCATGTATGCAACTACGTATATCAATGGTGGGGCTTATGCGACTGGCTGGGATAGTCAGCTCATGTATGCAACTACGAATTTCAATGGTGGGACTTATGCGACTGGCTGGGATAAACGATTGAGGGATGCACCTGATGGTAGTGTTCATTATTCATGCCGAAAAGAAGATACTGATCCAAATCCTGATGGACTTTTGATCTCTCCTAACTCGATTAAATCTAATGAGAATGGTGATAGTTGTAATGCTGGAATTCCGGCTAGTAAAATCCAAACTTGGATTCAGGGTGCATTAGGTAATGAAATCAATGGTGCTGAAGAGAAAAGGGAAGTGGATAACCAATCAATGCCTCATATATATGGCTATCAGGCGTCTGTGATTGTATGTAATGATAGCTTAAATGAAAGCGATGAAGGTACTCATGCTAAGGTTAGAACAAATAAAAGTCTGCCTCGGATGGATATGTGGAGATTGGAAGATAATGGTACAGAAAATTTGAGCGCAGATAACCAAGGCCTTGCCATTCTTGTTGGCACTGAGAAAGACTCAGGTCAGTAGATTTCTATTCATCTTGCATATGAGACTCGGGTACATTTGGAAGTGTGCGTATATTTTACAATATTTCTTTGACTTTGTATTCTTTAATTAATTCCCAATTTTTATGTTTGCAATCAAGGTGCTATGTCTGTCATTTTATAATTCTTGCTGAATCCAAGTTACAGCCAACCTGTTATAGATAACTAGAGATTTTAACTTATAAACCAGAGGTTTATGATTTCTTTCCGTCTTCATGTTTAATTATAAATGGAAATTATAAGACGACCACGACTACTTTGAGCTTCATGCAATTTTGAGTTGTGCTGAGCCATTTAGAAAAACAGTTAACATTATTCAGTAATAATTTGCCCGACAAAACTGTAAATATAAAGGATAAGTTATTTGAATGTGAATCATAGAGTGCAGTAATGCTTCTAATAAAATATAAAGGGAAAAAACATGTGACTGAGAAAAGCTAAATGGACAATAGAATTAGCAATCTAATGCTCAAGTTGCTTTGACATTTTTTATTTCCTAGCTGTTCCCCTCTTTTGAGAGTGAAGGATTTATTAAAAATGGATGTTTAAGAGAGATTTGCTGATGGGTAGATTATTTGTCTAGAGCTTATAGTTCTACCCTTGTTATTCAGGTATTTTCGCCTTTTTCTATCTTCTTGTGACTTATGAGTGGTAGTGCTTAACTTAATCATCAAACAACTTAGTTGGTAACTTGCTGATATTCATATTCATTTCATAGGTACAAAAGTAATTTGATATATTTTGATGACTTCGACTGCAGGCGCCAGTTCCATTTTCACTGGTTACAGAGTATATACTACAGTAGCCTTGCATAGGTTTTATTTTGTAGGAGCCAATTGCATATTTTTGTTATTATATATATGTGTTGTATATTAATCGTTTTTTTTTTTTTGCCAATGTTTTAAAATTACCACATAGTTTTCTCATGAAATACGCTGTATTCTTGCCATTGGAGCTGCATCCATTTGATGTAAACTAGATGCCATGGTTATCTCTGGTTTTGTTTTTCGTGTAGTTTTGGGGCTTTGTGGTGCAGATACAAAATCAGCCGCTTGATGAGCTCGGTCTTAGTAGTGTTTTCAATTTGATGAAGTAGGCTCTGAGTTTATTTGTACCCAGTTAAAAGTTATATTTGTTCATCAAGGATGGTCGATGTCCATTTTTCAGGCTTGACACTATGAACTGAAAGAATAGAAAGTTGTTCAAGCCAGGGAGTTGTATGAAATAAAATGGGATTAACCTTGACTGTAGCATTAGTGTTCTTTTTTATAGTCAGTCATTGTACAAAGAGCTTCTTTGTTCATCAGATTGGATGAATTGAAATAAGATGAGAAACATAAATACCAGCAATTATATCTATGTCTGTCATTAGGATCAAGTAGTTGTGATTAACCCATGATTTTTTTCCTAGAATATGTTTCAGTGGGTACAAGACATGACTCATGCTTGGAAGATGATGGTACAGAAAATAAGGGAGCAGATAGCCAAGGCCTTCCCACTCTGGTTGACACTCAGAAAAATTCAGGTCAGTGAATTTCTATTCATCTTGCATAGGACTATAAGACATGGGAACATTTGTAAGTTTCAATATATTTTTCAGTATTTCTTTCACTTTATATTGTCTAATTAATCCCCAGTTTTATTTTGGCAACCAATGTGCTATAATTTTCCTTTTGCAATTGATGCTGATTCCAAGCTACTGCTGACCTGTTAAAGATAACTAAAGATTTTAGTTTATTAAACCAGAGGTTTATAATTTCTCTCCATCTTCATATTTAATTATCAATGGAAGCTTTGAAAGTCATTACAACTTCTTTAATTTATTCGTTTAATATGAACAGAACTCCGTTGAAATGTTGAGTTGTGCTGAGCAATTCAGACAAACATTTAACAATTAGCATTATGGAGTAAAATTCTTTAGTCCCCCCCCCCCCCAACCTTCCAAAAAATGCTGTGAAAAGAAAGGAAAAAAAAAATGTGAAGGGAAATAAACGCTTGAATGGGAAAAGCCAAATGGACAGTAAAACTAGCAGTCTAGAGGATATCTAGGTTTAACACCTTTGATTTCCTGGATGCTCCTATTTTTGACAATAAGATTGCCGAGCAACCGCTACAGTTTAACCATCAAGCAGTTGTATATGATTGACATGACCCTTTCAATCTGTATACAGCTTGTGGTTCTTCTTTCATCTTGTGACCCAAGAGTTGGTAGTGCTCAGCTTAATCATCAATCAACTCCTCCAATAGCATGCTGATATTCATGTTCGTTTATACCTGTATATATAGAACAATAACCTTGCATGTGTTTGTTATTGTATATATGTATTGGTTAATGCTTCTTTTTGAGACAATATCTTATAACTAACATGTAGTTTTCTCATGGCATCTGCTTGGGATATGTTATATTCTTGCCAGTGGAGCTGTATTTATTTGATGTAAAATGATTGTTATGTTGTCTCCGCTTTTGTTATCCACACAGTTTAGGGATTTGTTGTATAGATACAACAACAGCCATTTTATGAACTTCGACTTATTATTAAATTTGATGAAGTCGGGTCTAAATATTATATTTTGACGGCAAGTAAAAAAGAAATATTATTCCTCAATGATGGCCTATATCCATTTTTCAGTCTTAAAATTAGGAATTAAAAGAATGGGAAGTCATGTTGCAGTTGTGCCGTAGTGTTAGTGTTCTTTTGCAAGGTTGATCATACTACAAAAGGGCTTCTTTATTCGGCTGACAATGATATGTCATGAGATGGAAGGAATTAAAACTATATAAGAAACAGACAAATTACATCTAAGTCTGTCAGTAGGATCAAGTAGTATTAATAAAACCGGATGTTTTTCCTAAAACATGTTTCAGTGATCATAGGAGTTAGTTAGCTGTTCCTTTAATATGCAATATAGTTTCTAATTTTGAAATAGTGGAATCTGTAAGTGTTCATATTTAAAACTGTATTTGTTGATTCTGTCTTGACTAGTCATAAGTTGGGGGCATATGGAACAGCTGCCATAATTCAGCTATATGCCAGCTTTTGTTCATTCTGTTCTTTCTCTTTCTCTATGTGTGCATGGAGATATCTATGTGGTTTGGTACGGGGAGAGGTCGGGGGTCGGTGCTGTGTCAACTCTGCTCTGAGTTGGTGCAAGCTTTAGACTCTCATAACATTTCATAGTATTCCACATGTTAGCTATTCTGATATTTTTGGAGTTCTTTTCTACATTTTGCTTATTGATTGGTAAAGGCTGTAATGAAATTGCCTGACGACTCAAAGAAATTGTTAGCTATGGTATCATTCTTGACCTATATTTGGAGCTGATTATTGATTAGACAGGGCCAGGGTTTGCATAAACTGCCCGTAAATTTGGGCTCGAAATCATTCATATCTGATTTTAAACACAAACTTTATGATCTATCAGCCATGGTTGATTCGTTTTTCTGCCCTATTTTGTTCTGTGACTTGTATCCGTTATTTTATCTTAATGAGATATCTCAAGTGCTTCTTTATGTTTTAAGCATAATCTCTAAACTAACTGGTATTGTATTGACATTTGAAGAGGTGGATGCAGGTAACTCGTGTTTTGTCCTCAGGTCCGAACAACAACACTGTCCAAGTTCATGAAAAGTGACAGATAGATCCAGGACTTGGTGTTATCATAAGAGCCAATTTCTGGAATAGCACCTATAGCAATTGAAATTAACAAAAATCTACCAACTTCCATAGATACAATGCAGCCATTTCTCTTTGCTTGCATTTCAACTGGTTACCTTGATGTGCAGTATAACTTTCTTGAGTATTGAACAATGTTTTTTTTTTGTTTTCCAATTCTTTGGTGGGTTTCCAACTGTATACCTTCATGGTGTGTATTACAATTTTTGAAAGATTAAACTATTCTTTTATCTTAATCTGTTTCTCTCTCTCTCTCTCTCTCTCTCTCATCCCTCCTCCTTAGATATCTCATCCTTCATCATGTCCTTGACTTTTGTAGATGGGCTCGGGTTGTGTGAGCTCTGTTTTGAGGGTATGAATATGTACCATCAAATGGTACGAAAAGTGTGAAATTATTGTATGTGGTGCTGGAACGAACCGTAGCTCCTATAGATGAAATAATATACTTAGAATCTGAGAGTTTACTTGAACCTTTGGGCAAAATACAACGACATCTAACAAGTTCACGAGTTTTTTTACATGTGATCAGCTGATTTCCAGCCATTCTGTGTCTCTGGGAATGATCATTAGTGTAGTTTGATATCCCAGTCGATTCAGAATGGTATTTTTCCTTTTCCCAAGGCCATATAGAGCTGTACATTGTTTACCTCCTTGTAGCTGAAATACAGAACATATCCAACCAGTACCCTTTGCCCCAATTATACTACCGAAAAGTTATTTTTTAGTATCATAAGTCTACTTTTTGTCCGATAAAAAAAATGACACATGTAAAGATTTATTTATGAACAATGCTATTGAAATCTAATTTACTGACCTAATTCATTGTGACCTTTGGATTCACTTTAAATCCCATCAAATATTGAAACTTGGTGTTGATCTAATAATTCTTATAAAATCACATCATTATGTCAACAAATTAGGTCAAATTTTTAAGTCCAAATAGTATTACTCTTTATTTTATTATCTTTACTTTGTTATTTTATGCGTATCATTGTCTTGGGGAAGGATGTCATGACGTTAAATCAAAAAAAGCTACCATTTTCAATATATTCAAAGCAAATATGCCTTGTTATTCAGCTGGATAGGATCATAAAACACAATGTTGGGAATAAACCCATAAGTATTTTTATTTTTTTTTCACTAGTGAGAGGTGTCTGGGTCAGCTTACGCACACATTAATAATTTCGTCTCCAATCTGGTCAAAGATAGATCATTCACGCTAGAATTACGGTATTCATGAGGGATAAATTTCTTATGGACTGACCTCAAGGAATTGTCAAGATTCAAACTCAAAACATTTGAATTTATGACTCGTCTCTATTACCACTTAATCTATTTTACCGTTAAACCCATATTTCTTTGTGGGTGAGGGATTTTGAGTCTTCTTTGAAGAAATCCCACCAGCCATTATCCAGAAGTACATGCATTTTTGAATTGAGTTTATACCTTTAACTAAATTCAATATGAAAATGCAATATAATGGAGAATGTTGTAATATGATGTAACAATTATGAACTAATAAATATATCTTCTAATAAACCACTAACACGATTTGGCATCTAAACAAATTCGGTTAGAACCTTAGAAAAATTAATTGTATTGTAACCTATTCTATTAATACGATGAAAAGAAAATTTTAAATTGTTTTTTTCTAAAAAAATAATTATACAATTGTAAGAAGATGTAGTAAAACTATATAATTTGTCAAATGTCATGTCGATCATATACATCTGGTGGCAGTCTTTATACTTCTTTCAGAACTTTTAAATAGTGATTAGTTATCTTAATGTAAATATCATAGAATGCAATAGTTTTGATTACGAAGGACTTACCTTTACGTAATAAATTTTTCATCGTAAATAAGATTATAATTTAGATTTTCATTATCAATTCATGATTGTGGGCGATGGGTTAAGGGGGTAGGATAATTATGGGCGTAGGTGCTGGTGATATAGTGCTCCACGTTCCTCGCTTACTAACGAGTATATCCTTTTTAAGTACACTTTATCGGTATTGAATCACTAATAAAAGTTGACATCGTCAGAGAGGGCCTCCTCTTGAGTGGTCGGTGCACATGATTTTTGTTCTAAGCTATAAAGGAGAAGGATTTGAACTCGGGATCTCTAAGCTCTGATACCATATTAAACTATCATTTACTCTAAAAACTTAATCCTTTACAGAGGAATATAACAAAGTTATTTATCTATTAATTAACTTTTTGAGGGCTAGAGATATATTATATGAGAAATCAAAAGGAAAACATTATATTATGGGGGAAGTGTGAAGTTTATAACCCCTATCACATAGCTGTTAGAGTGTGGTTCCAACATGGCTGCTAACTGTTTGAATAATGCATGTTGTCTAAGGCTTCCAGTCACTATATACCATATAGTTAATAAACATGCCTTCAATCGTACTTCATAATTGATAAGAGACCATCTACTATGATTTGAATGTATGTTGAGCAAGATTTTATTTTTTAATAATTGAGAATTGTTTTAACTATAAACTTATGGCTGCTTCGTAAATTGAGGATGTGTACCATCACTTTCAATTTATGCAGATGTTTCGTATAGAATTAGAATTTCATAAAAAGAGCATATTTTAAGAGACTAAAAGTACTATTAACCCATTATGTTTTCAAGTTAACAAATAATTTTATTCTAAATATCTTGTGCTGAAAACTTTGAAAGCATACTCTTTTTTGCATGGACAGATCTAGAAAACCCAAATAGTAGGTCATCTCAGGTTGAGGGAAAAACAGCATATAAAAATTATAGGGGTCAAAATCTAAATATCAATATTTGAAAAGAACAACTGAAAATATCTTGTTAGCGTGAAGCTATATATAGCCCCACCCGAGATCTGAAAGGACCACAGCGTATTTGTATCAAAGTGACTTGACTACTTGTTTTAACTCCTAATTATTTGACCTTTTTGTCTTGTTTTCTTCTCTCATTTTCAGCCCTTTTTAATGTTGTAGTGGTTCTGAGTGCCTTCGTTGGCTTGATTCGTCTGGGAATATGCTGTTCTCAGGTGTGGAATTGTTGGCCATTTACCTTGCCACATATTCCAACTCCACCTTCACCTTCACCTTCACCTTCACCTGCATGTATCCATTCTAGTTGCCATCAATGTGTTAGGACCACTGGGTTGTGGCTCCTACTGATGCTGCTGCGTGATTGAGCCTTCCTTGCTCAGATAATCTACAACCCTTTAATTTCTTACCAACTAATTATAATAAGGATGGATCTGGACTTATCTGTGGCTTTATTGGTTCTGCCAGCTAGTTGAAGTGGTTTACATGAAATATTCTTTTGTTGGTATTTCAACTCTTGTATGTAATTTTCACATCATGTCGTGTAATTTAGTGTCGCGTCACGTCATTTTTGGGTCTTATATGCTAAATACGTCAAATAATACTTATTTTAATGTCATATAGCGTAACACTAATTGGTGTCAAATCTTTGGAATTATATACAGATCCGAGTACTATTATCACATTTGTGTCAATTAAACCTCTAAACTTTTTTTGTGTCAATTAAACCCCTAAATTTTCTAATTGTGTCAATTTAGTCGTTCTGTCTTCCTCTCTTAGATTGTGCCACTCAATTGATTATGTGGCACAAAAAAATAAAATGACTCAATTGACACAATTAGTTCAGGTGTTCAATTAACATAAAAAAAAAAGTCTAAGGAATTAATTGACACAAGGGTCAAAGTTTGAGGGTCATATGTCTAATTTACTCCAACAATTTGTGTACATACTTCGCAACTTTCCATTAAAAAAATCTAATTGAGGCAAACAGAAGGGCTCAATCGACACAATTAGAGAGTTAAAAGACTCGATTAATACCCAAAAAAAAATCAGAAACTTAATCGACATAAGGATCATAGTTTAAGGATCATTTATATAATTTACTCTTAAATTTTCTTTTGCCCTCCAACCTAATCCACTCTATAAGTCATATGATTAAGGGTCCACCATATAATTCACATATGTTTTTGGGTTATTTCCTGTGCTTCTATCAAGTCTGATGGCTCTATGATTTTGGTTATTATATTGGCGACAATTAAGTCTTTCAATGACTGATGTGAAGATGCACCTTTAAATCAGCATATAATTGTACTTAGTATCTGGAGATCGATCAAATTTTGTATATAGTATTGATTATAACAAAGTTTATGACGACCATTGTGAAAATTCTTCTTTTAAAATTTGTAAAATTACAATGGTTTTTGTGTCCCGAAATTGATACGATTAGATCTAACCAATATAAAAACGTTTCAATATACGATTAGATCAAACCAATATAAAAACGTTCAACATCTTTCTTTCTCATTTTCTTCTTTGTTTACAAAATTATAATGTCATTTATCATGCTTGGTAAGAGAGCTAAACTGGAATATCAATTCCACCACGTCTGTATCGAGGTGAAAAGGCAAACTTCCACCAGGTTATGAGGAACTTATCCCTCATAAATACCCTAGTTCTAACATGGATAGTCTGCCTTTCATCAAAATCAGAGAGAGAATTAGTCGAGATGCGCGTAAGTTGACCTGAATACCCCTGACACGTGAACCAAAAAACTAAAAAAAAAACAAAAAACCAAGGTGAAAAGGCCATGGAAAGTTCACAAGTGGTGCAGCTGCTGCAATGAGTCCATCGTCCACAAAAAAAATGTTTAGTTTTGTTGTGGCCTGGCCCAGCGGATGATTCTAGGCATCAATGGTGTTCAGAAACCAAGCATGTCTCTATATGTATTTCTTTTCAAGCTTGATATTGACAAAGGACAACTTTAATTTTTTTCCTCTTTATATTGTTATATATGTGTGCAGGGACGAAACAAAAATTTTATTAATTAAAAGAGGAGGGGGTAGACTTTGTATAGAGAAACCCACACGAACAACATGAACTAAATTTTAGTATTGTAAATTTAGATTTACAATGTATAAATTATATCAAAAGCAACAACTAATGTATATTCACTATACCCAATTAATATATTGATAAAAACGAAAATGAACGAACAAAATAGCTTTTTCATTGCATATCTTTTCAATTGTCTATTAAAGTGAAAGTGGACATTCTTTTTTACCACTAAATTCATCTAAGATTCATTGCGTACTAAATTTTTTTACCTACTTCCTCTCTAGGTGCACAATCAAATGGCATGTGAGAACCGAACTTTCCGTCTTGTTGCAAAGCCTAGTATCTACAATATTCATAGCCCAAAAAAAAAACACATTTTGTAGTTACAATGGAAACGAAAAATACACACGCAAGTTTGACCAATCTATCAAGAAATGCACAAATTATTGTTTTTTTTAGTCTTGATCAACCATTTACATAATGGGAAAATATTCAAACATCTCAATAGTTCTGTCTGTATTAGTATATCTACTTTATGCCCATAGAATATATGAAAAAAGAGAATAAATAATGAATCACAAATGTTTCTTGCTTTGGTTTACTTTATCATATACATGAGGAAGTTGATTTATAGTATAAGAGAGTAATGAGGTTTTCTAGTCTAATCAATGTGAGGCAAACATATAAATATTTAAACATTAACATCCTCCCACAAACTCAAGGTGGGATCAAAATGCCAACTTGAGTTTGCAAACCAAATCACGGTGGTGACCAAGTGGATGAGCCTTCATAAAGATATCAGCGAGTTGATCAGCCGAAACAACCAAAAAAAGAAGAAGAGTGTCCTCTTGTTGGTGATGATGCATAAAACGACAATTAATCTCAATTCATTTTGTGTGCTCATAAAAGACATAATTGTGAGCAATAGCACAATGGTTGTCACAATAAAGATCAAAGGGTTGTTAGAGGATAGTTGGGAGGTTGCCAAAGGATAGTAGGAACAGGTCAGAACCTCATCGGAAGACGGTCGGTCGGAGCAGGTTGAAACCTCTTTGGAGGATAGTCGGGGCAGATTGAAACCTCGCCGGAGGATGGCTGGAGCAGATCGAAATGTCACTAGAAGATAACCAAGGCAGATCGTCACGTCGTTGGAGGATGGACGAAATGGATCGAAACGTTGTCGGAAGATGGCCAGGGCAAATCGAAACGTCGTCCAAGGATCGTCGAAACAAGTTGGAAAATCACTAGAGGATTGTCGAACTAAGTCAAAACGTCACCGGAAGATGGGCGGACCAGGTCGAAATCTCGCCAGAAGATGGCTGGAGCATATTGGGCCATCATTGAAAGATAGTCAGAGCATATCGAAACATCGTTGGAGGATGGTCGGAGTAGGTCGAAACCTCGTCGAAGGATGACAGGAATAGAGAATAAAGAATGAATAACAAATGTATATTGCTCTGATACCATGAAAAAAAAAAAAATAGAAATGAATAGAAAATGCATAATGATTTGGTGTACTATACCATATATAAGTGGAGGTTGATTTATAGTAGAAGAGTATAGTGAGATTTCCTAATCTAACTGAAACGCCGCAAAATTCACCCTAAAATGCATTACCATATACAAATCATTCAATCGTAAAAGCAACCAAAAATAACTATTTAAAGAATAAACCATTCATCCATCCAATAAATACCAGATAGCAAGACAATAAAACATTGTAACTTCTTCAAACTTATAATTCAAAATCAAACTATAAATAGAAGCGGAATAATTAAATCTAACAAAAATATTTTTTCATAAAAAAATCTCTTAAACTCTAAACTAATAATAACACAAATCTAATTTTTTAGGGATGAGGTCCACAGCCTAATTCTCCACCGCCTCGTAGAGAACCTGCTCATCTATCTCGACATTCTCCTTTGTGCCAAAATCTATAAATGGAGGAGGTATAAGAGGTGAGTAAAAGTCCGTAGAGAATTACTTTCAAATCCAGACAATGTTTTTAAATAATTTAAAGAAGGCCAATCTCTTTCTAAAATACAATATATACCTTTTTGAATGTAAAATAATGGCCATTATAATAATCTCAAATATACATAATACAGTAATTCAATGACAGTAATGAACAGTTAGGAATCTATACAATGATCCTACCTCATTCACCTATCACAAACCCAACCATCTCAATCATTTCCCGTAGGGCCACACCACAAACCACTTTAAGAAAGACGTATATCGTCTCATACGACATTGACGAATCCTTTACAGGAAAAGTATATCATCCCTCAACCTCAACCTATGTGAACAATAGGGGTTGATCTCTTAAGGAACAACTCACTTTAAGTGTTAGACAACTATCTCACTCCTACTGGGATAGACTAACCTCCAATACTCTATAGCAGCTCTCGAAGGTAATCCTAAGTTCGTTACACCCAAACCATACAAGAGATAAACAAATCACAACTTTATCGAGAATGTATATTCAACCAACCACATGTTTCATCAAATCCATGTATCACAATTTCACAATTTTCAATATATAATAATAATAATAATAGAATCAAAATATGTTAGAGATCATATCAAGAAAAGCTTCAAAATTGTAATATCAAAATTCTAGGGTTTTACAAAAAATCTCAATTTCTTGAAGATATTACACGTATTTGTATATAAACATGGTTTTTTTAAGAATTGAAATTTAGAAACCAAGAACCAATATACGTTTCAAATTAAAACATGTTTTTAGCAAATTAGGATTTTGGAAAACAAGAACGATAACTCCTTGAACAATAAACATGTATTTTGCTTAATGACCATTCACTCGAAAAGAAATCAAGAACTAACAATTATTGATCATATAACTATTAGGAAGATTTAAAACATATATATATACCCTAAGTTTCAATGAAAGAACTCAAGAAGAATCCCTACCTCTAATCCATACTTAGCCCTACCTCCAATCTAATGTTGGTATATAAACCTTGTGTGTTTGATTTGTTCCGACATGAAGATTCTCCTTCAAAATTTGTGTTTTATCCTTCTCTCTCCCTCTATAGGGTTGCCTATGGTTAAAAAATTATGAATGCTGACCTAAGAGGCATCCTTAGGAATTTGTAAGGTCAAAATCTGAATAGTTTACACGAGTCTAGTCGCTATTAAAGAAATGGTCACGTTCAAATAGACTTTCGTGTTTGAATGTCACTACGAGCGTGACTTGCCCCTATTATCTCAATTTCTGTCAAGATTTCTGACAGACAACAAAATATTGGGACTAACTGGCATTCGAACATGATTTTTGTTTGAACGTGAATCCAGTTTTCTGCATCCACTTGCAACATAGTTTTGACCTCCCATAAATCGATTCACGAAGCTTTTGTGAAATACATTTGTGTAGTATTTAGAATTTAGTTTCTACTATTCAAATCTCACATCAATCCAATATTATAACATCAAGTTATAATTGAATTTTCGAAACGATATCAAGGAAATCTCTTTCGAACTTTTACTGAGAATGATCAATTTATCTCTCAATTGTTTATTTTTACCCTTACAGTTTATATGATGACATATATGAACAGTAAGAAATAATTATGTCATTACATTAAGATGAACAAGTGGGAATTTACACTAACTGATGTAGGACAAACATATAAACATTAACAAAATATATTGAATACAAAAATTACAATTTGACCACATTTAAAATATTAATCAAAAATAAAAATATTTTCGCTCAACAAGATTTTAAAATAATAACTAGTTAATCGAGTGACAAAAAGCAGAAACTGATTCGTTTTCATAGTGCCAGTAGTTTAGTTCTTCAAAGGCACTAAAAATCAATGATATCTTTTGAAGCTCATCTATTCTATGTAACGTTTAGAGCTTGTTGTGTGTCAAAACGTCTTCGTTTCAAAATAATCAATAATACTGTAAATATTACTTTTTTGTATTACCTTGGTGTACCACCTTGATATGAACCATTAAATTAGTAGGTCTTGTTAAATATTTTGAATATTTAAAGGTTAAGATTATGTCATATTAGATAGTATAGACTAGGTGATACATAAAAGTGGTGCACATATCATTATTGCAAAATAATTAGGGCTATTTGTTAATTTATTACATTTGGGTATAATTGGACAGTTAATATTCTTTATCAGTTTGTCAGTGCCAATTAGAAGAGCTCTTGCTGTAATGTTGGTGGAAGACTTTTATTATAAAATGAGCAATGCTGTGTAACTTAAATTTGTAATTTAAATTTGTATCTTAAATGAAGGGGCACCATTGGATCGTGGGTCTCATTTAAAAAAGTTGATAGGACTCACTCATCCAATGAACTCATTTATTTAGAATGTAAATTTGGGTTATAAATTTGGGTCACATAGTATTTTTTGAAATGAAATATTCTTTTATTGTTTTACTGGGATTTGTGTAAAAGTCAAAAAATAATATTATTTTATTAGTTTATCATTACCAAGAGAGGATTTTAATGACAACATGATATTATTTTACTACAGGCATGGAGAACATCTAAAAAAGAGTCATTATAGGTTTAGAAGACTGGAAATTGTAGCGACAGAAATTGTCTTGGAGTGGCAATGTAATACAAAAGTGGAGTATTGTATATTTACGTAATAAAATAGCTTATAATTCAAATTTTAAAAGATAAATAAATAATTTTTTTTATTCGCAGTTCATATCGCTTTAAATTTTACTTTAAACTTAATCTAACAACTAAATTAACACTCTAAATTTAATATGAAAAATAAACCCCTAAGCGTGTGTTTGAAGTGATTTTTTAAAAGTAATTCTATAAATTATTTTTCATAAATATTTAAAAAAAAATAGTGTTTAAAACCGCTCTACTACTACCTCTACCCCCACACCACCGCCACCGCCGCCACCATCACCACCATCGCCGCCACCACTGCCAACGCCGCCGTCGCCATCACCGCCACCACCATCGTCGTCACCGCAATCACCACCACCACCACTGTCGTTGTCGCCACCATCACCGTCGCATCCACCACCACTATCATCGCTATCGTCGCCGTCGCTGCCGCCACCACCGTCATTGTCACCCTTGCCACAATCACTGCCACTACGGTCATTGCCACCCACCACAACCATCACCGTCTCTTACCACCACTACTGTCGCCCACCACCTCTCACCCCCATTACAAATCGATACTTAAATTTGTTTATTTCTTCTTTCTGTTTATATTTAATTTTGGATATAAATACAAATATATTTATTGTTTACTATTTTTTTAATACTTTGTACTTTCAGGCACAGGCAATAACTAGTCTACTTATATGACATGTAACAAATTGAATCACGCGGGATATAAAGTATAATAATGAACAAAATTAATTTAATTTTTATTTATTTTGATCAAATAGTATAAATTTATCCAAAAAAAAATTTATGTTCAACAACATTAATTTCTCTGCACGTGACTTCAAGCACGAGATTATTGCATGTCTATACATATACACACATATACATATATGTGTATATATATATATGGGCCTTTCCAAGGCATAAGAGGAGGGAGTGGGGGATGGGGGTTTCGTTCTGTCTCTGTGTGTGTGTGTGTGAGAGAGAGAGAGAGAGAGAGAGAGATATGGAGCATACTTGGATGATGAAAAAAAAGCCAGCTAAGTCACTATGGCATGTGTCAGCATTGATGATAATCATTCCGTGCTTTGAGTGAGACCTTTTAACATTTTTTTGACTGTCTGATATGCCTCATTTTGATCGGAAATCAATTTCTGTTGTAGTAGTTTAGTAGTTGAATTTGTTTTCTTCTAAATAAGTAGTTTTAAATTTGATATTTTTTATACTTTCTAAAGGTCAGTCTCTCTGTCTTTTAGGAGACGTAGCCTTAAATTGTCTCAAATTACAATGGTCAATCGTTAAACTCGAAGAAATAGTTGGTGCAAACAAATCGAAATACTTTGTAGTAAAAAAAATATATATATATTTTAAATTATTATTAATTTTATAAAAACATTTTATTGAACTCACGCTTCTCATTGAGAAAGCTGTTGAAATTATTTTTTTTAGTACATTGAAAAGTTAAAATGGATATGCAAATATGTCACTCTAAATATCCGCTAGAGAGTATTGTATCTCAACACTACACAGTTATCTGCAGAGAATCCCACCGTACCTATGTCGGGGCCGAAACTAAAAGTCGTTGAACTACCAACTCAAATACACCGATCAGATCAATCAAGAGGTGCCACACATGATGAGAAGTAATATATAAATACTTATATTACACCACTGTCTAAATATCTAAGTTATTAGAGAGATTAATATATCTCAAATATTTATGTCCAATAAATTGTCCACCTAGACGTGTGGGAAGAGTCTGCTTACAAAACGTGTCCCACTCTCTTGGTTGCACTACAAACCTAGGCATGCCTATTTAAAGCATATAAAGTG